CCTCTTTGCTCATTACATTTTGCTAACGAATACAAAGAGACAAGTTGCAGATCATTCATCACTCCTACTTTAAGCACTCATTGTTTTATTCAACTAACAAAATTATCCTCTCACTCGTTCGCCTCATTCAAATACCATTACGTCTTTCATAAACATCATCTTAATCTAGTGATGAGCTCAGAAGTTAGTTCATTAAAAGTTTGGCTTAGTTTGATCAAATTAATGAAATGAACAAATAACAACGAACAGATACATAGATATGCTTGATCCTGACTACTTATAATGAAGATATAAAAAAACTCAACTATGCTTATGAATACCTTAAATTTTCTAAGACTGCTAATATTTTGAGCAATCGAAGATGTTTCAACAGACTTCAGTAATCCTGAAATTCAGGTTATATCGTGCTGAAGTCAGTTCATCCTCAGAACAAAATACATACTTATCTATAATAAAAAATCCTAAAAATTCTGTCTGTTGTCACACACATTACGCACATCGAATGACAATGAATAGATTCATAATATTAGTAACAATAAGCATGGTTGTTCAATTAACGAGTTAAAATGGCGATATTGAAGAGGGATATTGTAGGCGATTTAGGCTGAATTGTTGGATTTTTATTGTTTTCTCAAGGGACTGATTGCATGGACACAATGACTACTGCTACCACATTCTTACTCGTTACTACCAGCAGTCGGGAGGGGTGAGAAGCATAAAACAAAGAGAAAGTATGAAATCGATTCATTCACATTTCATGCCATTGAATACTCATCCGTTTTAATATGTCAGCATTTATCTTAGCTGAACTTTCAAAGAAATATTCCCAACTTACAGAATGAATTAATTGTAAGAAGATCAATATACACCTCATAAGCAGTCGATAGCCGGAATCTGATCAAAATATGTTGCGTCTTTTAGCTTACTTCATTCACTTCCAGGTTATCTTCCATGAAACATTTCAATCCGAAGTATTTTATCTTCAACTTTACAAATTAATCATACCATCATAATGGTGCACTAACATCAGTAATAACATAAATGAATAATCGGTCTACATCTCCGTGCAACAAATCAACTGATGTATTCCATAACACATAACAACTGACAGACGCATAGATATGCTTGATCCTAATTACTAATAATAAAAACAACAAATCAGAAATACAGTTCATCACCAAAATAACCTTACGAACTGAACATATCGTACTGTACAAAATTAAATCATTGATAATCAACGTTCAGTGAGATTATCATAAAAATACAGTGCGCAATGAGAACTGAATTAATTCTGTGAGCATCACACCAATAGTTGAATCTGATTAGATGGTGCGATGATGATATCCAGGTCGTTAACCAGGACTCCCTCTCAGTGTAAAACAGGACGACTCTAATGCTTTCACAGACACGACAAGGCGATTTTGGCTAATTCCTTAACTCTTAAAAAAAAANTTTTTTCAGTTTAGTGGATCCATTCCAAGCCTAGTGCCGAATACTCAAACATCTTTCTTCCTCAAATAATCCCTCGTTCTGCGAAATAACGCAACTAATCTTCTAATGATCCTAACAATCACAGCAAGCACAATGACTATCAACAATAACAACGCTGCAAATATATCCAAACCAAAGTACTTAATTACACTGAACTTCGCTCCCTCCACTTGGAGTTCGGGCAACGGTCCGTATTTGATTACGTAATTGGTCCACTTGATCAACTGCTCTTCAGGTTTATTCGGTTTATTGCAAATCATTTCTGACAGCCGACGTGCTGCTTTTAGATACCTGAAATTGATAACATGGCTAGGTATCATATCATATTATATCATACGATATCATTAATAATCTTATGAAGTAGTACCATAATGATTTGATCAGATTGATCTGTATCTGTTGCCGTATCAAAAAGAAAATGTCGATGTGTAAACATAACTGGTATTTTCACTATCACACGAATGCGAAAACAAACACAGATTACCTAGTAGTATCTTGTAAACATGAGCTGACATAATGATAAGATAAAAGCACATTATACAATTAAGCATCTATCAGTCAATTTAAGGACTGCATACTTTTCATCTATGAGCAGCTGTGTGAGTGCCTTCTTCATTTGAGCATAGTTGAGATCATTTCTTTGCAATGCCAAACCAATTCCACGATGCTCAGCCGCAGCTCCATTATGGAACTGATCACCGAAGAACGGTATGACGAGCAGAGGTACTCCTCGTATCGCCGTCTCTATCATACCATTCAATCCACCATGCATTATGAACAATTTCATGCGAGGATGACCTGAACAACAATCTCTTTATCTCACGTAGACGATATCGTGAATTTGTAGCTAGCATGAAATGAACCTCTGCGATCAAATGAATCTTAATGGCTTACCGAGTAAATCTGATTGTGGCATCCATCCGATCAACTCAACATTGCCTACACCCATATCCTTTATCACCTGATCAGTTTCGTTATCGTTCTCGTCCACTCTCATCAAGAAGTGAAAATCACTGAATTCACTAAATGCTGAAATTTCAACGCTTTTATTTATTCGGGATCCAGATTGCATATCAGCATCAGATTAAAACTGAAAACAGCTCCCATCAGACAAGTTCAATGCCACGACTGCAGACAAACCACAAACACATTCGTACTTCTTCTTCAGGTCAAATATTCAAAGAATCTAACCTCTGATAATGTCCACTCGAATATTCATCGGAATAGCTGAAGACGGTACAATAGTTCCAAGTGAGAACAACACCACACCTTTATCACCTTTCTGCATTAATTTCTCGAATTTCTGCAAAGTTTCAAGTCACATCACATCGTCTCGACAATTGATAACTCACTTAACAACAATAATGATACTGATGATCACCTCAGGTAGTGGAGACGGTTTCAACGGCACACCAATACCACCAACGTAGATGACTTTGTGCAAGATTGGTCGGGGTATATCCAAGAACTCATCAGTGTTTACAAAGCAAATCGCTGAATCTGCAGCTACATCCTGAAGATCCGGGAAGTTCGGATCTATCAATGCCCGAAACTTTTCGGTCTGTAAGACCATTCTTGCTCGATGCACGTAAACNTGTTCTAGCCATCTGAATATCGATTTAAATCAACAAAAAAAAAGATCAAACAATCTTGTGCAGATCAAAATTTAAAAAAAAAAGTTATGAAAACATGCCGGAAAAGGTTGAATGCCCTTTCAGTGAATGACATGACGCTTCCGAAATCAGATTCGTCGACTACAGGGACGTACGATATCGGGCTGGGAACACCTGCAGACGATCTGTTTTTAAAATGGATATCGGAAAGAGAATGATATCTATTGAACAATCACTTTTATCAGTGAATATCAAATCCAAACCGCTGAATCGACTTTCAATAAATTAACAATTAAAATAAAGAAGCGACGTTCCGGATGGAATCTGTCTGATTAAACTACAAAAATGAAGCAAAAACAAAAGCATTACCAAGCGTGTACGTTGTCGTCACCAATAGAGGCATTGATGATACCCAAATATGATTTTTGATACCCAAATAACGGATTATTCCTACACCGCAATATTCCAATTGTTCACTGAATCCAACATCGAAATTATATTTACGTAACTGATCGAGATCGTCTTTACGTTTGAGTATCGCTAAAGGTTCCGATACTTTAAAGATATTCGGCATTCACTCATTATATTCAGATTTAGTAATCGTACTAATTTGCTTATTCAGATTACCATTACGCTAATCGTAAGTTCTGACCAAGTGTTCTAGTTTATAACTGCCAGATAAACGATGATCTGAACTGTTCAGAAGCATATTTCAGCGGGGTTAAGTTCAGAAGATCGAATCCCTATTGACCAAATAAAGAGGAGTAATTCATTGCATTTGATCGCCAGCAACTGTTTAACTGGAGATTAGAGTGCATGTGTTATAGATTGAGAAGTTAGCTTTATCTGTTCAAAAAAACGAGGTGGTAAGCATGAGAAAGTGATAACTGGAGAATGCTTTCGATGAGAAAAGGTATTTAAGAGCGAAAAAGCGTGCGAGCATTCCAAACACCTCAAAAAAGATTGTGAATTCAAGCATGACAATACATGAATTCTGAAAATTTGGTGGATGCTTTTACAATTCAGGCATAAAACTAACTGCCTCATATTCATTGTGGAATCGCCAGATAATGTGTAGCTATTGCTGCGCTTGACTTGCATAATTCACCGCATAAACTTCAGAATGCAGTATAATATCTCCAAGAAATTCCCTATTTTAGGTTTTAATTAGAAATAGCATGTTGCAGTCCTAGAATTCGATGGAAAAGTGCTTTTCAGGAGAAGTTTTCAATCAATAAATGAATACCTTCACAAAATTTGGCAGATATATCAACCCACTCCATGCGATCTTTCAATGTTATTGTTTTGGTGAAAATATCTTGCTTCATCTGATCCATTTTAGCTTCGAAAGCGAAAACGTTCTCCATACGAATTATTTTAGCGTATTTTGTTGCATTGAAATGGATTGGTTCCATGATTGGTACGAAAATGACCTCGAATAAAGGATAACATCATTTGGATAACAATAAAGGATAACAAAAATAAAGGCTAACAAAAACAATCTCAAATAAAGAAAAAGGACTAAATCTGCCAAGAATGTCCGATCCCCTCAGTTTCCTTCATTCCGTAATTGTCGTCGTTCATTTCAGAAATGACTTTGAGCAAGGCAAAATGTCCTCTGATAGTGAAAGTAATTTAATGGAGCACGTTAAGGGTGCAGCACGAAATTGACTGATTTCGTCAGATGAGTGCTCAACCAAAACTTATTCAGAGCCAAGAGCCAATTCATAACTAACCTTCACCTTCTAAACCAAATGAAAAAGCTCCACAAGAATATCTTATGATCTATAGCTATATGATCGTATCTTTATTTAAACCGTTGCATTTACATCTATAAAATTCAGTGGATTGTAATCGATTCACTCACCACATTATGTCCAGCTTCAGCTAAAGTATCGGCCATTCGTCCATTAGATATCAAATGACTTTTTGTATACGATGGACTATAAATCAGAATATTTGCTGCCTGCGCCAACGTAAGAACGAGAAGAAACTGAGTGCATGTTATGAGGATCATCTTTAAGGATGTTGTGCTCCAAGATTGAGATCATTCCACTTGATGATCAAATGAACTGAAGAGAACGTTACGGGTCATTTTCGCGGATGCAAGAAACAAATTGCCGGTTGCAAGCAAGGCTTCGCTTGTGCTCAGCTCTACCAGAACTCAATGACAACCTTGTAAGATCATGTTGATTTGTTTAAAACTTTATGAATATTGTAAATTAGCTACTCTAAAAAGATGGGAACATTCCCATGGAATAACGTACAGAACAACTTTTGATAATAGTTCAAGCAAACGATTCAATGCCATTGAAGTATCTGAGATTCATTCGCCAGAAGAAACTTAAAGATAGCGTTTGAATGAAAGTACGACAATATTGATTACGTTTATCAGTAAAAGTCCATGTGAAGTTTTTTATCATGAAGTATATAGATTCAAGTGACTTCAGTCCAAAGCTCAGTGATAACGAAAGCGTTGAAATTATCAATTGCATAGTGTTGGTTTGATAAAACGTCAGGGGACGTGTTATTTTACTGGTATTACTGTTGTTACGATCAGTAAAATATCCTTACCTAGCAAACTGCTGATAATGAAAACTA